GGTGGAACAAAGCGGCCCGAGCTTGTATTTCCATCCCTCATCTTTTCCACGCCACCAAATTTTATTTACTTTGAAACCCAACCAAGACTAAGATTGAAACGGAACATAAAAATGTAAATGCGCAAGTTTCCTCCCCCCCCCCCAAAAAAAGCTTGGCTTACGAGCACTAACATCTTACCAGCGGTTCAGCTGAAGGTGAAGATGATGAATAACTCCATATGTTAAATTATTACGCTCATAACCAAATACACGCGTTTTCTAGACGCGAGCGATGTAACTCATGTGTGTCAACAGTAAAAACGCCATGTTGCAATACATCAAATCGTAACATTTTAGCTGCAGTTTCCATATAAACCTCTCTTGTTGTTTCCCTTCCACAATCCTCACTTCATCATGTGGAGAAACGATAATTGCTTTTTTTTTTTTTTTTTTGATGAACGTCATTATTACATTAAGCTTATCTCTATTGGAACTGGATTTAGATTTGTTGTGGCTTTAAAATCTGTCAAACGGTCTTAAAATGAGGAAATAATGGCTTTGTTTTTAAGATGGAATTTGATCAGAAAAGGTCAAAGTCTTGACCTGCAGCTGCTGCAAGGAATTGCTTGAAAATTTCACATTAGGTTAAACGAGTTAAACATAAACAACTGAAGAAAAACTCAAGTATATTGTAAAATGTACAACGATAAGCTTAGTTTATAGATTTTTTTCAGGAAATCATGACCTATTTAATATAGTTGCTCAGAAAATGGAAAAAAAAGTCAAGAAAAAAGTGATTTTTGGTGCATCGATCTATATCTAATAACCAGTGGAACAAATGGAAAGTTTTCTTTAATTTATTTTATGCCTACATTAAAAAGTTCACTGTAAATGATTAATTTTACTTAATTACTTGTGGGTTTGTTTTATTTATTTTGGTTTATTCTGTTAAATGCTCCTAAAATAAAGACATAATTGGTGTTTTTAGATTTTTTTTACATGAAGATGGAATTTGATTCTAAATGTTAAAGTAAAATTTTTTTATTTGGGAATTTTTAGTAAATTTCATGTTTAATTAAACAAGAACATTTCAAGTACAAAGAAAGAAGAAATGATGAGTTCAGATGCAAAAACCTCTAATGGCCCATTTCCACTGTATGGTACCGTATCGCTTTTTGGGTACCCTTTTAAATACACAGCCGAGACATTACACCGTAATATTATATACATAAAATAACAAGCCATGGTCGACCCAAGCTCAAACAAACCTTTTCGCCATCTTGATGAACAGCCACTAAGCCAAGAAGAGCAGATTCTACCCTGTGCCTCCTTGCTTTTTTACAAGTTTTACTTGTTTTACTTACTTTACATGTGTGTGTCTATATTTGAAATATAAAAACTTCTTGAGCTCATGATAATAATCTGTGCATGATTATTAAAGTGCTTCAGACATCTGACCCTGTCAGAAACTAACAAATGCGAGACTGTTGTGTGAAAAAACAAAGCAGAAGCCGGAAAAAACAAAGAAGCAAATCATTTTTTTAGCAACCTAAACCATGAACAAACTGCCATGTTCAACTATTATCATCACATTTTGGACTATTATGAATTTGGAATGACGGAAATACTTTCTAACAAAGGTTACATGTGCTGGTGAAGATTAAAGATAGGGGTGAGAGGTTTGCACTGACTGGTATATGTTGTCTGTTGTTTTTGAACCCAAACAAGGACTAAATGTATGCTGTGTGTAGTTTCTTCTCTATTTAGTAATATATCAGAGACTGTAAGGGTCTGTATGTGTTCACATACATTCTATTTATTTATTTATTTATTTGCTATAACTGCAGACACTACTGTAGGCTATTTCGCATTATCATCGATCTGCAGTTATAATCAAATCATGTTCATGGAAAGGTTAATAATATACATTTATACAGAGGTATTTATGTGTATAAATCATCTGTTTTGTGAGAAGTGCTTCTCATAAGATATATGAATGACCCATAGGGTTTTACATGTAGACCTTTCTGACATACACCACGCCCACCAAAAGGGTTCCACTGGTACCCTTGAAACGTAAGCCTGACAAGGGTGACCCATACCGACCCACACCACTCAGTGGAAACGAGTTATAAATGCCATCTGTAATTTTCTTTTGAATTTAGCATTTTTATCAGGGTTCTCGTTTCATAGACTAATCAAGCAACAAATTGTTCGATTTCATAATTATTTTTTTAAAGTATAACATTAACTAAAACAAGGATATGCATTAATAAGATGGGGTTGTGGAAGCAAATTTGTAATTCGAATTGTGTTCAGAGCTCCGTAGTTTAAAATACACTAACCGCCAGTTAAACTATATATATATATATATATATAAGATAACACACACAGCTGTCTAAATAAATAAGCTATAAAATACACAAAGAAAAAAAGCACAAGAAAGAATGCCACTTTGAAAAGTATTTTATCAGCCTGCTTTAATTTAAGAAAAGTTATTTATGATTTTTTTTGTTATAAAAAATTAGAGTTAGCCTACTAGAGAAATTTTATGTTGGAGCGGGATCTGAGCGGTAATGGTTTACCAGCGGGCGTGAGTGGAATGTTAACAGATCGCTTGCTTTGGGCAGTTAACGACTGAGTGGAGCGCACGACCGTGGAGTGAATGCTTCACACCGCTTAGCTCCACTCACATGCTCTGTCTGCAACAGTATATCAGTTCAGTATGTTCACTATATTACATAACTGCCCCCTGCTGGTCATGTCTTTCTTGTGTTAGTTTTTGTGCTGTGCGGCGCAGTACTGCAGCACTGCATGTGGTCATGTTCATTCACTCCCGCATACATCTGTGTGTGTAGGTTCAGTAATTTGTTTTTTTTTTTCAAAAAAATAAGTAATTTCTATGGTCTTTAAACTAAAATAAACAAACAAACAAACAAAGAAGGCTGAGAAAATTTATTTTCGACTAAATTCGATTGAATTTCCAGACAGCACAGGTTTTTGCATCGGAACTCCTCAAATATAGTTTTTATAAGAAAACTTAATAAGAAAAAAAAAATCTTTTTCATTATTATTAATTTTTACAGTGAGTGTACATCACTAAAAACTACTAAATCTCATTACATCTTCATCTAAAGGGTGATAATTATCCCAATAAGCTTACCAAATAAATAATTTGAACAAATAAACATGATTTTTTAGGGTAAAAGAGTTCACAGAAATATTTATGGAAGCAGCCAAAATGACTACATATGATTGTTGACAGCACAATAATAATAATAAAAAAAAACACTAATTGATTTATTTTTTATATTATAAATGGATAAAAATGGATAAAACAAATATGAAGAAAAAATATTTTTTAGAGCAAACTTTTCAAATAATAGGAGCCAGCAATGAATAATTAATTTAATTTTTTTTTTTTTATATATCTAATACATTAAAAAAAAAAAAGGAAATAAAATGTTTCACATTTTGCTCAATTTGCTCTGGGTTTATTTCTTCAAACATAATTAAACATTTAGGAAATAAGAGATAGATCAATAGATCAAAGGATAATAGATCAAAGTATTTGCTAGTTAATTTCACATGAAATTAAGTAAAAACACGAAGTACAAACTAAAATAGCTTGTAAAACACTCCAATAATCTTAGTTTATTCCTTTCTTATTATATTCTAATTCTCATTTTTTTCAAAGCTCTTTAAAGAAAGGGTATGTTTTTTTTGTGTTAAGGTGGTAATTTATACTAATTTATAACTCCAAAATTGACAGTACACTTCACAAAAAATGAGTTGAATTAAACATGAACACCTTGAATTAGAGAAACAGAAAGAATATGTAAAACACTCCATTAATCATAGTTTAATCTTTTTTGTGCATGCATGTGTAGCACTAAAAACTGGGAAAAAGAGAAAGTTTCATAATTATCTGAATAAACTTAAACACATCATTTGAACAATTAAAGGATCATCTTTTCATCTTTTAAGATGAAAGAATTCACTGAAAACTTTCTGAACTAAATGATATGTTGAAACTAAGCAACGAAAAATTGCTTGTTTTGAACTTTAACACTTTCATCTAAAAGATTTGCATTAAAAAAATCTTAATTAAAAAGGTCAGAGAAGGGATTAAAAATGGACAAGAAAAGAAGTGTGCTTGCACTATCCTATATACATACAGCGTTAATTTTTTTATTTACAAAAACACCTTTAACATCTACTACAGTAAATTCGAATTAAATAGTATTACAATTTATAAAAATTGTTTATCAATAATGAAAAACATTATAATTATGTTTACTGACAGTTTAGGAATGAAAGTGTTAGTAAATTGGTTTGCACTTATATACTATTTTGGTGTTTTATTTTTAAATACCATCAAATGATTATTGTGTTACATGCCTGACCTGAATTGGGGGATATAAATCATAGTTAAATTAATAAGATTTTAGTGTATTTTTACAGTAAATTCTGATAATAATAGTTTTTGTTTAGTACTACATGTTGAAGAAACGCTCTGCTGTTAAAATTTTTGAATCCAGTAAGATTTAGTTTAGCTTAGCATAGACCATTGAATCGGATTAGACCATTAGCATCTCTTTCCAAAATTGGAAAAAAATTCTGGATTTACATAATGTAAATTAATTTCCGACGAAAAATAAAGTCGATATTTTTAAGGCCAATATGCCTGACAACGATAATAATCAAGCAACTTTGCTGCCGTACCATGGCTGAAGCAGGCATAGTGATATTACAAGAGCCAAGCTTTAAACAGGAAAATTATTTAGGTCTTTTTTTGAGAGAGATGGTAACGGTCTAATCTGACTCAATGATCTATGCTAAGCTAAGCTAAAAGTACTATCTATCCATAAAAGTCGAGTTGATCTATCATGGTGTCCTGGTTACGATGAACAACAGAAAAACAAAAATGTCAAAAAAATTCATAACACAACCCTAAATTCAAACACAATATGCAAATCTATTCGGTCTTATAGCCAGATGTGAAATAGATGAGAGCTCACCGCGGCAGTGAACACCCTCGTCGTATCCGTCTTCACAGTCTCGAACTCCATCGCAAAGTTTACTGAAATGAACACATCTGCGGGTCCCGAGACACTGGATGTTATTAACAGGACACCTCACTTTTACCTGCCGCAAACCTGGGGAACACAAACACAGACATACTCGTTTTATTTATAGGCAATAATGCTGCAGGCAAAAACCATGTTTTTGAAGCATTTTGGTCATTAGTTTTTTCAGTAAAGTGAACATCCAAAATACACTTTTAACTGTTTATTTTGTTATACTTGATTGATTTGTCTCTTTAGAGTTCAATTATAAAGGCTGTTCTCTCAAAATGAGTAATGAACCTTAACTTCAGCAGCTTTCCAGAGACCAAACTTCATATCTGTATTCTGAAGGTTTTCATAGAGGGATATACATTTTATTCTACAAAAAGTTTTAAAAGTGTATTTATTTCCTGGCTGATCAAAGTATTTTCTGAATTATAATCTGATTAAAAAAGGTAAAATAAACAAATAATGAATATATTATGACAACAAAAAAGTATTTTGTGATACAAATGTATGCGAATAATCACATATTTAATTAAATAATGCCTTATCTGCATATTTGAATTCAACATTTTATAATACCTGTTATGCGAAAAAGTGTGTGCAATTCTTTATGAAATCAATCAGTTGGGGAGGTATATGATGATCATATTTTTATTAACTTTTTTAACCTATTCACCTGAAGCGCCTTAAAACATTTATCATACACCATGGGGAAAAAAAAAGTTGCCATTGATCAAACTTCAAGCAGAATTTGTGAATGTTGTGAATTTTTAATATACTTTCAGGCGGTAATGATGTGCAAAGATAATGACTTTTTTTCAATAAAAAGATTGCTTAAATAGATTTTTATTGAGTCTGCTTTTCAGTTGTAAGAAAACATGCATCAAATGATTTGAGTTTGACATTGAAGCAATTTTCACACAGAAATTGCAAAGCAAATTTTATAAAATGACCAAGAAGTGACAAATAACAGATTCAATTAAACTGCAACGGTAATGACAGTATAAGTGTGAAACTAAAAAATGAAAAATATAAATAGTAGATACATAATATTGCTGATGCTTATTTTATATACAGTAGTTATGTTTCCATCCACCTATTGTTGTGGGTATTTTAGACTAATTGCAAAATTAAAAACGCATAATGGAAATTACAAGAAAATGCACTGAAAAAGCTTAAAAAAAACAACTGTGTATAATCTATTATGGAGACACATATTTACCAAATTATTTTCAAATGATTTTTGTTTCTAAGAAGTAACTATATAAAGATTAATAATAATAATAATAAAAAATAATAATAATAATTAAAGGTCCACAGGCCCTATTGCCCCAAATTAATTAATCAATATATACAGTTAAAGTCAGAATTATTAGCCCCCTTTTGAATTTTTCTTTTTTTCTTTTTCACATATTTCCCAAATTATGTTTAACAGAGCAAGGAATTTTTTTTTACAGTATGTCTGACAATATTTCTTCTTTTAAAGAAAGTCTTATTTGTTTTATTTTGACTATAAAAAAAGCAGTTTTGAATTTTTACATTCATATAAAGGTGAAAATTATTAGCCCCTTTAAGCAAATTTATTTTTCGATAGTCTACAGAATGAACCATCGTTATATAATAACTTGCCTAACTACCTAACCTGCCTAGTTAACCTAGTTAAGCCTTAAAATGTCACTTTAAGCTGTATAGAAGTTTCTAGAAAAATGTCTAGTCAAATATTGTGTATCATCATCATAGCAAAGATAAAAGAAATCAGTTATTAGAAATGAGTTAATAAAACTATTATGTTTATAAATGTGTTGAAAAAATATTTCTGTTAAACAGATATTGGGGAAAAAATAAACAGGGGGGCTAATAATTCTGACTTCAACTGTACAAAAGCTTTAAATTGGAAAATTATCGAAACTCTTTGATAATTTTTGAGTGAGATGCTTACGGTCTAATCTGATTCAATGATCTATGCTAAGCTATAAATAATAATTAAAGGGGTTAATCATTTTGATCTTAAAATGGTTTAAAAAAAACTGCTTTTATTCTAGCTGAAATAAAACAAAAAATAAGACTTTCACCGCAAAAAAAAAAACTATTATAGTAAATACTGTGAAAAATCCCTTGCTCTGTTAAATGTCATTTAGGAATTTTCACTTGGAATATGGAAGTGAGAATTGTGTTCTCTTTGAATCATTGGATGTAAACAGTGCTTTATTCGCCAATGTTTTATATGCTTTTCCCATTCCAGTAAATCCAGACACAATGCTTATTTGCAAAGTCCATTCTATAGTATGTAAATTTGCTGTCGCAATTTTATTTATAAGAACACACAAGCGCATGCTGATCTCCAAAGCACTCCCATTATTACTGATTTTAAGCCTACACTTACTTAAATACACAATACCACACACAATCAGACTACCGGCTAGATTCTGACACTATAAATAACAACAAAACAAACCAAATATGACACAAAGCTGCTAAAAACAAAACAGATGAACGAATAAAACCATCCAAGCTCTTGTTTCTACACTTTATGCATCATAAATACTAATAAAAGCCATAAACTGGAGCCTCATCCTCCTTAACTGGATTCACAAGGGTGTTGTGTATAAATGTGATGAGCAAAGCTATTTTAATATTCAACTCCCAGCACAGTTTCTCCTAAATATGTCTCTTAAGCACTAGAGATTTCAGTCTCTGGCGAATCTCTTGATTGTGGACGGTGTGACATTTCTAGGGTGTCGCCAGGGATAAGAATCACTGCCAAAACAGCAATATTGATTGCCGTCCAGCTTCCAGAAGTGTTGGCCTACAGTACGTCTGTCTCCTTAACTTTCAATTTCCTCATAAATGTTAACCCCACTCTTCCTTTTATTTATTTATTTTTTGGGAGAAAGGCAGTGTATACACAGGTTTCCCCCCCAAAGGCTTTTCCCAATGGGCCTCTGCTCTACTTTTAGAATCTCGGTAAAAAGAGACAAGACGTAATTCGACAAATAGGGGAATTGTTTGAACGTATGGTATTGGTGTACATTTTCATGCTGAAAAAAACACAATAACATAAAACATTTACTTTAGATGCATTCACTTGTTTTGTGAGCATATTGAATTTCTATGAATAATTAATTATCTGGTCGTTTTTGATATGCAAGATATGCTGTAAAAAATCTGCTATTTTACTTATTTTTTAGCACCTGGTGTGCTGGAAAAAAAACGTAAAATAATGCCTGTTAAATAACAGAAATTTACTGTAAAATAAGAGACATTAAATGACAGAAATGTATTGTAAAATAACGTTTGTTAAATATCAGAAATTTACTGTAAAATAACGGCCAATTTATTACAAAAATTTAGTGTAAGATAATGGCAGTTAAATAACATAAATTGATTATAATGACCATTAAGTTATAAAAAAAATTTAATTGAAAAGAAAATTAAATTGATAACATTTGACCATTAAATTACAGAAATTTATTGTAAAATAACGAACATTAAATGACGGAAATTTACTGTAAAATAACAGCCGTTAAATTACGAAAAATTACTGTAAAATAATGGTGGTTAAATTACAGAAATTTACTTTAAAATAACGGCCGGTAAATTACAGTAATTTACTGTTTAATAACAGACATTAAATAACAGAAATTTACTTTAAAATAACGGACATTAAATTACAAAAATGTACTCTAAAATAACGGACATTAAATTGCTAAAATTTACTGTAAAATAACGGATGTTAAATTACAGAAATTTACTGTAAAATAACAGACATTAAATTACAGAAATTTACTGTAAAATAATGGCCGTTAAATTACAGTAATTTACTGTTTAATAATGGACGTTAAATTGCTAAAATTTACTGTAAAATAACAGATGTTAAATTACAGAAATTTACTGTAAAATAACGGCTGTTAAATCACAGAAATTTACTGTAAAATAACTGACATTAAATTACAGAAATTTACTTTAAAATAACTGGCATTAAATTACAGAAATTTACTGTAAAATAACGGACATTAAATTACAAAAACTTACTCTAAAATAATGGACGTTAAATTGCTAAGATTGACTGTAAAATAACAAATGTTAAATTACAGAAATTTACTGAAAAATAACGGACGTTAAATCACAGAAATTTACTGTAAAATAACTGACATTAAATTACAGAAATTTACTTTAAAATAACTGGCATTAAATTACAGAAATTTACTGTAAAATAACGGACATTAAATTACAAAAACTTACTCTAAAATAATGGACGTTAAATTGCTAAGATTGACTGTAAAATAACAAATGTTAAATTACAGAAATTTACTGTAAAATAACGGACATTAAATTACAAAAACTTACTCTAAAATAATGGACGTTAAATTGCTAAGATTGACTGTAAAATAACGGATGTTAAATTACAGGAATTTTCTGCTGAACTGAATCACAGAGTACATTTCTGTAATTTAGCAACCGCACGTACCCCAGCTACTGAAGAAAAATAAAATAATTGATTTTTTTACAGCTTTTGTTGTGTTTAGAGTAGATAAATATAAATAATTAAACTACACACATATAGAAATATAAACACACATAATAATTACTATTAATATTGTTGTTGTTGTTGTTGTTATTATTACAGGCCCGTAGCATGAGAGTTTAGGTGGTTCGAAAGAACCCATGCCCCACTGAAAATGCGACAAATGCCATCATAAATTGTAAAAATAAATCACAGAAGGTTTTAAGACCAAATGCAATCTGACATAAGTGAAGTCATCTTTCACTGCTGATCTACTACATTGTCATTAAATAGAGAAAACAATATACAAGTAACTTTTATTTTAATACTTGAACATTATTCTTGAAATAAAAAATGACCAATCAAAAGGTGTGAAGCAACAAAAGGTAATTTTGAAGAACTAGCACTAATTGGGCTATTTTGTTATCTATAAACTTCCTAATGTACTATTTTACAAGAGAGGATAGAAAAATTTAAAGTAATAATTATTATTTACATTTTTTAACAAGTTTTATTTATTTTTTTATTATTCAAAAGACCAAATTCACACTGAGGAAATTCAATGTGCTGGCCAGTCTGT